TAATTGTTGAGTTTGTGGCATTGATGATGAACTTGAAGCAGTAGTAAGAGAAATACTTGAATTTGAATTTTCACTCCATATATTAGATGATGATGATGATAAAAATGATGGTCGCTGTTTATGTTTAATTAAATATTGTGCTAAACGCCAATCGGTTTCCGCTAAAAAAAAGAAAATATATTATTTGTTTTTCTTTCAATCAATAATTACATGACATCATAGCACCAAAAAGTTCATTAACTGTAGCTGGTAAAGTATTTTCAGGTGGTAAGAGCACTTTAAGTAATTGTAATGCATGTTTAACTGTTCGTGGCTTCATATTAGCACGTAAAACAACATCAGCTATTTCACGTACAGCTTGTTTTCGTGTGATTTTTGATTCGGCATATAAGAGAACATCGGCAATATTCTAAATTTAAATAAAAAATAATTATTACTATCAAAGTTTTTAATTTCATAAAAATACTTACATGGTTACCATCATTTGATGAACTATTGCTATTATTATTATCGATTTGTGACGACATATTGTCGATAATAAATAATTCTTTTTATCAGAATCAAATCTACAATGTTTAAGAAAAAAAGAAACAGTTTTATTTTTCTGATTTATTTCTTCTATAATCAAAATCTGTATTTCATACAGTAGAATGAATATTCAAATGATAGCATAAATGTAGTAAAATATTGACTTCATTCAATAAGATACTTATTGAAGTAACTAAAGATTCTATTTGATCAATGAAATTATGATACTAGAAATAAAAAAAAAGAGACCTAATAATTAGACACTAGAAATGTCTACTTTTTTTTCTCTCATTTCTTTTCTTTTTTTATGTCAAGAACAATAAACAGCACATTACATATAGGGACATAACAATTGAACTTGGACAGAGAGAGAGAGAGAAGAAAAGTATGAATAAAAAAACAAACAAACGAACAAAAACATTTTTTGGGAATAGGTTACAGAAAAAGAAAGACTCATTTTTCGATTTCATCTTCGTTACTATTTGTATTTTTATTTATTGATGTCTTATCGGTTATAAATGGATTTTCATAAATAATATTTTTTGGTGGTGGTGGTAATAATGATATATCATCCGAAGCATTCCTATAAATATTAATAAATACATCAAACAAACAAACAATATCAAAATATATATTCTTACCATTTATTATTCACCCATTTATAATTACGAGCAGCTGGAAATGGCAAACGAGGATGTGAATACATACAATTTGGACGCATACATTGTACACCAAATTTACATATCTAATAGTAACAAAAACAAACTATTAATCTGTATAGACTTATTAAAATTATATTTAAGATGAATGACAATATATGTTCATCAATGTTTCAATCGTACGAAGAATGACGCAACTCATTATATCAATTAATGTAATTTATTGATTAGAAACGAGATAGTTAAATTGATCAAAATTAAATAATGTCTAGTTCTATAGAATTGAGAAACCGTTCATATGTTGAGTTTAGATATTCACTAGGAATTTTCTTTAGTTTCTCATTTGGGATGTTCTTTATAATCACAACAACGTAAGTCATATAGATTTCTCCATCGCCCTTTTAATTCTATAGACTATTATTTACAAGTCAGAATCTATTAGAAGAGTTTAATTTCAGTACCCGGGTCGAACAATCAGATAGTAAGATCTTGTAAGAACCGTATGTTTGATCATATCCAGTCTAATGAAATCAGACAAGGATCGTACAAAAAATAGTGGTTCCTGATTTCTTGCACTAAATCGTACTAAAAGATTGTTGTAAGATTATGTTATGCGGTAGAATATCACCAAAATATTTCGTTGAAACTAATATCTTCTTAAAATCTGACTTGAAATTTCTACTGAAAAAAACACTACGCGTCAGATCTTTCAAGAAAAATATGATGCGAGCTGATACAAGATCTTGTAAGACCTGACGTCGGATTTTTTGATCTGGGTAGACTTATTTAATCCCAACAAGAATTTTGATACTTACAGTCGAACTTTCAGATCGATTTGTTATGGATGCTCGTCCCGTATTTGCTGTATTATTATTATTTGTTGATGTCGGTGATGATGCAGGAGTTACTGATGTATGTAAATAAGGACAATCAGGTCTTGCACATGCACTACCAAAACGACATGGTGGATGAATATATAAACATTCCGAACCATATACACAATTTGGAAAATGTCTAAAAGAAAAACAAATATCAGTTTACAGAATTCTTAATTCAAATGATTTATTTACGTGCAACGTTGACTTGGATGAACAAATTCACATTGATCTCCATTATGACAATCAGGCCAAAATCGACAACGTTTTTGTTTTTTATTTGATGATGCAAGTGAAGTTGTTGGAGGAGAATATTGATCGTCTTCATTAACATCTGACATCATATCATCACTTAATTTACGTTTAAATGTTCCATTTCCTTTTCCATCTTCATATTCATTCATATTAAGATTATTTCCATTATCATCACATGGATAATCATTTAACATCCAAATATTCGTAGTATCATCTCCCGCTTCATTAGTATTATTTACAACAACAATAAACTATAAAGAAAAGAAAATATGAAAAATTTTCATAAGTTTAAAATGATTTTAGAATTACTTCATCTTCTTCATCATCTTCAAATTCCATTGGTGATATATGTTGTTCATTTGATTTATTATTATCATCATCTGTTGTTGAACAATATTCATTTTTAATACGAATTTTCATTTTACCTAATGTTGGTTCAGCTTTATTAATTAAACTAGTTGGATCAATCCATGTTGGTTCTTTCGCTTTTAAACGTTTAGCTAATGTTTTTGTTGTTAAACATTCTGTTGTACCATCAGGTTTCATAACTTTAACAACACCATTTGTTTTATTTAATTTCATTAAAACACTTTTATTTGCATCCGAAACAGCTTGTAAAAGAAGTTTTTTTGATGGTTCATTTTCTCGTGGTTTACGTTCACTAACTTGAATTTTACTTGATATCGTTGATGAATCATGATTTCTACTATTATTTTCATAATCATTACTATGTAAAATTGTTCCGATTTCAGAATAAAGTGTTCGTTGTTTTTTATTTACTGGCTGTTGTTGTTGTTCATCATTAGTAAGACATCGACCACTTTTTAATACACGATTAATTGATGAATTAGTTTCAACTTTACGACCACTAGATAAAATTCTATATGAACCTTCATTTGCCATTATTATTATATCTAGAAAACAATCAAACGCACAGGTATAATATAAACTACTGGGAAAAAATAAACGAGAATTTAGCATTCCAAAAAAATAACACACAAACTATGTTTGACTGTTGAATACATTAGCTAAAGCTGTTGTAGCTGATTGTGTCTGTTCAGTATTTGATGATGATTTATCTTTATCTTTACTTCCATATAATTTCGGATATTTAGAAAAACATTCAGTTAATGCAGCAAAATCTGCAAAACATTCGGAACCTTTAGCTTTCGAATCACTATTATGAAAACAAGTAAATGCTCGACGAAAAACTAAACCACATGGACCAGATGCCATACCACCAAGACATGGACAATCCCAATTAATTGAACCATTTGGTAAAATTAAACCTTTAGAAAATATAAATAATATAACGAGATTAAATTATTAATCCAAATATCATACCATGTTGTTCCCATGGATCAAATGTTTCATCTTCTTTTGGTTTAATTGTAGATGGAGAACTTAAATCATCTTTAGTTAAAAACATCACTTTATGTTTTCCATTATCTAAAGAATAAAAAAAATAATTCGAAATAGTTTACCATAATAATAATACCTTGTTTTGTACAATAAGACATTTTTGTTATGAGATAATGATGTAATGATTCAAATAGTTTTATTTATTATAATGACAGACAATTGGTATAATATAAAATGTATGCAATGCACTTTTGTAAGAATGGTTTAAATCGATAACCAATAGAAATCTAGTTTTGATCCTCTTTGAAAATTGACCAATCAATAAACGAATTTCTTCTTGTGGATAACAAGAAGACTATCAATCAAACAAGGTACTGTCTGTTCGTTCAAGAAGAAGAAAAAGAAAAGTCATGTTCATTGTCTTGATTCGATTTAAATTTTTTTTTTTCGAATATTCAATCAATCAGTCAAGTATTTTTATACATTGTTTTTATTGTATAGAATTTGTCATTGATCCTTGCTTTTGTTTCGTTAGTTATTTTAGAAGAAGAAGACGAAGAAGAAGAAGATAGGAGATTAGGTAGTAGCGATCAAACATAACGAAGAGAAAGAAACAGAATTCTTTAAAATATATGTATGGACGGTTTATCATTCATTGTAGCAAGTTACTTTTTTTTACGTTCTTTATTCATCGATCTTATTCTTTTAATGATGTTGTGCGCGTATGTATATATTGTAGGAAACCTCGTAAGAAAATAAAATAACACAGAAGAAGAGAGAGAGCGAAAGGGAGAGAACAACGCGACGAGTGAAGGAAAAGATTATAACACGAACAAATACACTTATGGTATACAAGTCTATTCGTTGTCGTATGAATAAGAGAAGCTTTACGTTGTGATGACGCGTCACATTAGACATCGATCGAACATTTACAAGTATCAAAGATCATCCTAACTCTTCTTTATTTTCAAAGAATATATCTATATCTATATTGTCTTTAACTATTGCTTCTATAATATTTTTATCTATATGAAATCTTATTTATTTCTTTTTCGTTTTTTTTTCGTCTTATCGAAGGACTTCGACAAGAAAAAAGAAGGGACGACATTGAGAAAACCGTGAAGATACAAGGATAGATTGATCATCGTTGTTACTTCTTTTGTGTGCTTTCCGTACTATAGATCAAAATCAATACGACGAAAAAAAAGGGCAAGAGAGAGAGAGACAGAGAAAAAGTAAGAAAAAAATAGTTCTTAATTGTACTATATTCGTTACTGATTAACCCAGACGCATCCTGCATATACCTTGTTGAGCCCTTGTTTTAAAGAAAGATAAAATTTTTTGGTTCCTAGGGAGAGAAATATCAATATACCCATTATCTATACGTTCGCACTATCGAACAAGACTATTAACTTGTATAAATATACTATTGAACTACAAAAAAATACTAATATATACGTATTATATAATACATATATGTATGTTTGCCCCATGTATTTTATCACCTGTCCTTCTTTTTTCATATTTTTCTTGTTCTGTTTAATAGTAATGTCAATGATTGTCTGGTATTTTGTTTCATAAAACAGGCACGTAGTCAGAAAGAAAGTATCGCTAATGACTCACACATATAAAAAAAACATACGTTAGTAATACGAACGTTAGTAATACGAACGTGAGTAAATTTTCTCTTTTAGATGCTCTCTTCTATTAAGATCACCATTTGTTAAAGTTATAAAAAAAGAAGTAAGAGATGAGTGCTATTTACCACGAAACTAATGGACATAATGGAATGTCAACCAAACAACAACGAAATGGAAATGGTGTAAATGGACAGAAAAAGTCAGTTGATGAGTATATGATGCCAGAAGAAGAATGGGAACGTGAAGCTGTACTTGATCCTGCTTGGGAACGACAACAAAAAAAAGTAATAAATTATATTTTTTGATTTTGTAGCAAAATAAACTTTTTGTTTTTTTTCTGTAGACATTTACTGCATGGTGTAATTCACATTTACGTAAAGTTGAAACATCAATTGAAAATATTGAAGAAGATTTTCAAAATGGTCTCAAATTAATGCTTTTACTTGAAGTTATTTCCAATGAACAACTTCCAAAACCTGATCGTGGCCGAATGAGGTAAACTAAATAATTTAAATCTAAAATGAAAGTTTATTTATTTCTCATAAATAGATTTCATAAAATAGCAAATGTAAATAAAGCATTAGATTTCATTGCAAGTAAAGGTGTAAAATTAATGGTTGGTGCTGAAGGTATAAACAGATTTAAATATTAAAAAAAATAATAATTATTATTATTTAGAAATTGTCGATGGAAATTTAAAAATGACATTAGGAATGATATGGACAATTATTTTACGTTTTGCTATCCAAGATATTTCAGTAGAAGGTAAAATAGTTAAATAATTATTATACTATTTCTATTCATTTTATGTTTCATATAGAAATGTCGGCTAAGGAAGGTTTATTATTATGGTGTCAACGTAAAACATCACCATATAAAAATGTCAATGTACAAAATTTTCATACTAGGTTTGATATACTATCAATGAAAATTTATGTTTTTTCAAATAAAGTTTTATTCTAGTTTCAAAGATGGTCTTGCATTTTGTGCACTTATCCATCGACATCGTCCTGATTTACTTGAATATAATAAATTAACTAAAGTAAGTCATTAAAAATCCTTAGTAGAATTTCAAAATATTTCTATTCTTTTTAGGATGATCCTTTAACAAATTTAAATCTGGCTTTTGATATTGCTGAAAAACATTTAGATATACCAAAAATGATTGACGCTGAAGGTAAGAGTAATTTCTAAACAAAAACAAAAAAAGCAGTTAACTAAATAAATATGGCTAATCGTATTAGATTGTATGAAAATTGTACTACAATATATATGTTAGTACATCATTGGTATTTATAAAGATTTCGGTTTTGCAGTGAGCATGAGTCCCTATTGTTTCTCCATGTAAAAATATTTTCCTGCATGAATTATGTGTTGTGTTTTTTTTATTTATCTAGAAATTAATAATAGCATAAAAGCCGATGAAAAAGTTGTAATGACATATGTATCATCATATTATCATGCTTTTTCTACAACACAAAAAGTAATGTGATAGGGATTAAAATAAATATTTTATTGAAATTATGATTTGTTTTTTGTGCATAGGCTGAACAAGCAGCTAGTCGTATATGTAAAGTATTGGGTATTAATCAAGAAAATGAACATATGATGGCTGAATATGAACGATTAGCATCGGATTTACTTGAATGGATTAAACAAAAACGTCCATGGTTAGAAAATCGTTCAACTGATAATACACTTGATGGTTCACAAGCTAAATTAGGTGAATTTCGAGATTATTGTCGTTCACAAAAGCCACCGAAATTGTCACAAAAAGCTAAGCTTGAAACTGATTTTAATACACTTCAAACACGTCTTCGTTTATCCAATCGACCTATATTTACTCCAACGGAAGGCAAATTAATTGCTGTAAAAGAAATTACAAATTTTATTATCCAGAAAAATAAGAATTCCTTTTTTTTAGGATATTGTTGAAGCTTGGAAAGGTCTTGAATTAGCTGAAAAAGGTTTTGAAGATTGGTTATTACGTGAATTACGTCGGTAAGGTTTATATTTTAAATTTATTCTTATTTCATTTCGTTGATCTAGACTTGAACGTCTTGATCATTTGGCAAAAAAATTTCAACATAAATGTGATATACATGAAGAATGGTCAAATGGAAAAATAGATTTATTTAAATCAAGTGATTTTAAACAATGTTCATTAAATGATCTTCGTGCATTATCACGTAAACATGTTGCATTTGAAAGTGATCTTGCTGCACATCAAGATCGTGTTGAACAAATAGCTGCTATTGCACAAGAATTAAATGTTCTTGGTTATGATCAAATAACAATAGTTAATGAACGTTGTCAAAAAATTTGTAACGAATGGGATGAACTTGGTGATTTAACAAAAAAACGACGTTCAGCATTAGCCGAAGCTGAAAAAGTTGTTGAACGTATTGATAGTTTATTTTTGGAATATGCACAAAAAGCAGCATCATATTCAAATTGGCTTGATGGTGCACGTGAAGATCTAGTTGATATGTTTTTTATACATACACTTGATGAAATATGCGGTAAAAAAAACAAATATATAATCAAATGAAATATAATATTCTTTTCTTTTTATATAGGTTTAATTGAAGCTCATAATCAATTTAAAGCAACATTAGGAGATGCTAATACTGAATATAAAAATATAATACGTCTTGTTGAAGAAGCACGTCAAACATGTCAAGAAAATAATCTTGATTTAACACCTAATCCATATACTAATATTCAACATGACGTAAGTCCTTTTTTTGAAGATATTGATATGTTTAGTAAATATTGACTGAATTAAGATTATTTATTATACAGTATACCTTTCGATTGCCTTATAAATATAGAATACCTTGTTCTTTTTTTTGAATCGAAGGTCATAAACTTAACAATGACAAAATGGAATAGGTCAACGTTTGTTTCTTGTCCTTTAAGTATTAGCTTGAGTCAGTGGCGGATCCAGGATTTTGGAAGGAAGGGGCGATATCTGAGTAGAAGTGGGTGATTCCCAAGCAGACAAAGAATTCGAAAAAGGCCTTTAAACGCTCAGTTGGGAATCGCGATTGTAACCCATTCACGCTTAATAATAAAACGGCGTTTTGGACGTAAAATCACCACCTTTATAACGGTAAAACGGTGAAAAACTCATATTTTTAACGTTAAAACGCGCGTTTATTCTAGAGTTTAAAACCCATGCATTTAAGCGTTAAAAATATGAGTTTTTCATCGTTTTACCGTTATAAAGGTGGTGATTTTACGTCCAAAACGCCGTTTTATTATTAAGCGTGAATGGGTTACAATCGCGATTCCCAACTGAGCGTTTAAATGCGTTTTTCCAATTTTTTGTCTGCTTGGATTTTGGCTAAAAACTGTTTGTGAGTCCAATCGAAGTAGTGTGAACTTATTTTTGCTGAAAAAAATTTCTGAAGGGGTGGCGATCACCCCCCCCTTCCTAAATCCACCACTGGCTTTAGTTCTAATAACTAATATATAGTACTAAATGAAAATAATTTATTTAAGGAAATAACATC